GGTAAGTGAGGATAGAAAAGAACGAGCCGACCACATCGTTCCATGGCATGCATATGATATTTAATTGTTTTTGCTTTCTGGCGTGGTGGCGTACCGTGCAGCAAGAGCAACGACTTCTCCGACCAGATGTCGTGCCACGCGGTAAGAACAACAGCCCAATCAGACCACATCAATGTCTCGTTTTCCCCTCCGCAGCTCAACGATCGTTCAGCGAAGAGATCTCAACGCCAAAGCTCGAAAATATTTCGTGAGAATGCACACTACGAGATCACGGTCGACGAGGGAAACGGACGGCTGAATGAATCGTTCTCGCGATGATAATTATGTGAGGCATGCACCGAAGAACGAAGGCTGAGAAACACGGAGAAACACTGTGTCGAGAAATGAACGGCAACGAAAAATATTAAGCTAGACGACGTCCACACGGAATGTGAAAAAAAACAGCCATGATAATTCAACATGTCATGCAGTTGGTTTCACGTCCTGTGACTTCTCAGGGAAATTCGGACGCATGAGCGTCATCCCACTTACTTGCCGGTCCGAATGTTGCGATCTTGTTACACGTATTTGCAATAAAGACCTTTGCTAAGAACTGCCGCGACATAGACAATATATGATACCCTACACTACGAAAACGCATCAAACAGACAAGAAACGAATGTAAACCAAACATTCATCCCGTCGCCGAAACAAAGAACTGCCGCTTAAAACTACCTGGGGCTATCTACCTCCCCGGCTAAACTCTGTGAGGATGAGACGGCCCACCTCGCCGAACAACGCCACCTTTCTTCCCGATGTCACTCCCCCGCTCCTCAGCTCCCCCCCTCTTCACCGCGCCTGCCCCCGGTATGGACAACCAATCTGCAAACCAGATGCTGCCCCTTTCAAGGCCATGTGCCTGGAGAATTCATACAACAACGGCACCAAGCCGACCCACAACTGAGAAAGCTCACCCCACAGAGACATCGGTGCAGGCTCAAACCCGAACGATAGACATGTTCTTTCCACATTCCACACAATTTCGAGAGTTAAATAAAAACTCTCAACATTGGACCCCCAACAAAAGATGATGTGTTTTTGGAAAGAATGAAAAATCACGAATAAACTCGAGCTCGTCGTTGGCCGAAGAACTAACCGAAAAAATAAAAATCACAAGCAACCCCAAATAAGCAAGCAAGCTCACGTTAAAAAAAGAACAGGTAGGTGCCACCACGGACACCAAAGACCACATAGATAAGCATTGCACTCAAACGATGGAGGGTGTGAATCCTGAATCGGTACACACGGTGCTGGTGTGGGGAAGCCGGAAATGCGACTGATGCGTAGAGCTGAAGCTGGTACTACGGCAGAGTGCTACTAATATATGGAAATCACTCTTCCACACAAACTATATCCCTCCCTCCGCACGACCTATACCTCCCCGCCCGACATATGCCTACCATCACCGCTTTTACGCCATGCGTAGGGCACTCCTACCACCTTATCAACCAAACTGGACCTGGTGCGATGTGAAGCATACGACACGCCCAATATACCTCCTCCCGCCCGGCGTACACCTCCCCGCCCGGCCTATACCTACCATCACCGCTTTTACTCCATACGCAAGGCACTCATACCACTTTGTCAACCAATCCGAACCTGGCGAGATGTAACATACGACACGCCCGACCCCCCTCTGGGTCGGGCAGTACCCGACAGGTGAAGTAGTGTAAAACCATGTATCAAAAGTATCCACGAAACTACGTAGGTGGACCCCGTATATGCATAGCGATAGAGAAACTATATTTCTCGCTAGGCTATAAGTAGTAGACTTAGCAATCCATCAACTTTAACAACTCTAAAAGCTTGGCAGATGACCGCGTGTAGATCTCGGTTACAGAAAACCGAGATAAACGTGCACGCTAACCGCTTTTTTCGGCATGCATCGGAGCTGCATGTTGGCGCCACACGAATGAGCTCTGGAGGGTGTGAGGGTAGTGAAACGACTTACATACTCGACCGGGTAATAACATTAGGAACAAGACAAGACACGAACGCTCAAAAGGTTCGGGAAATTTAGAAAGATGGACGCCGGAAACGACCAAAAATACTACTGTACTTCAAATAATACTTACCAACCACATATGCAAACAGAGAGAATTGCAGCCACGCGTAAGTGTTCCCGCAGGTCAGCGACGACCACACACATGAATGATAATTTCAAGCCGGCCCCCGAAATTTTCCCATTTTGTACGCAAGGAAGGGTGGTTCATGCCGCCAACGCGGGAGATGATGTCATGGGAGTCGCCAAGGCCGGCATCTTGGTGTCCTTCGATGACGACTTGACTCTGCTGTCGGCA